ACGAACTCCTGAGTCTACTGGGCTCTATCACATCTACATTTTAAACTGTAAATGGAATCTGCCTCCACCACATCATTGCCTAATGCATTCCATCTGTTAGTTACTAAAAAAAAATCTTTCTAACGTCCCTGTGGCTCATTTGGGCACTAAGTTTCCACCTGTGTCCCATTGTTCGCATCCCACCCGTGTTAAACAGTTTATCTACCCTGTCAATTCCTCTGAAAATTTTATAGGTAGTGATCATGTCTCCCCATAACTCTTCTGTCTTCCAGTGTCGTGAGGTTCAGTTCCAGCAATCTTTCCTCGTAGTTCATACCTCTCAGTTCGGGGACTAGCCTGGTGGCATACCGCTGAACCTTTTCTAACTTCGTTTTGTGTTTGACTAGATGTGGACACCAGGCTGGAGCCCCACATTCCAGTATTGGTCTGACATATGAGGTATACAAGGTTCTGAATGATATGTTACACAAGTTTCTGAAGGCAGTTCTTATGTTTGCCAGCCTTGCATACGCCGTTGATGTTATCCTTTTGATGTGCACTTCAGGGGACAGGTCTGGTATGACATTAACCCCCTGATCTTTCTCTCTTCCTGACTCCTGAAGGATTTCCTCTCCCAGCTGGTACCTTGTGTTTGGCCTCTTGCTCATTACGCCTATCTTCATCACTTTCCACTTGCTCGAGTTAAACTGTAGTAGAGTAGCCATATGATGGACCATTCCATCGGTCTGTTCAGGTCATCCTGTAGCCTCTTGCAGTCCTCCTCTGTTTTTAATTCTTCTCGTCATTTTAGCATCAGCAGCAAGCATTGAGAGGAATGAGTCTATACTTTCTGGAAGATCATTCCCGTATATCAGAAACAAGATAGGGCCGAGTACAGAACCCTGTGAGATCCCGCTGGTGACATCATGCCAGTCTGAGGTCTCACCCGTTACAGTAACTCTGCTTCCTCTGCTTCCTGCTTCCTGTTGTTTAGGTATTCCCTTATCCATTGGAGCACCTTACCACTTACTCCAGCTTGTTTCTGTAACTTATGCAACAGTCTCTTATGGGGTACTGTGTCAAACGATTTCTGACAGTCCAAGAAAATGCAGTCTGCCCATCCTTCTCTTTCTTGCTTAATGTTTGGTCATAGAATTCTATTAAACCTGTGAGACACGACTTGCCATGTGTGTGTGTGTGTGTTTAAAATATCTCATTTCAACACTTTCTCGCGTCAGCTCGGCAAAACATTAATAAACACATCACCGAGGCGCTAAATGTGATAAGATAAATAGAGAAACAGATTAGTTTTCAGTGCCAAAACACGAAGATATATTAAGCGAAATTTTATAGCTGAACTAAGGAGAGCAAAATGTGTTCTCAACATGGACGATGCAGCAATGGACTACGAGAGTTTACGACAGAAAGAACACTCTATAGTGTATATAGCCTCTATAGTGTATATAGTCTCTATAGTGTATATAGCCTCTATAGTGTATATAGCCTCTATAGTCTATATTGGCAATTTATATAAGAAAATGTTCAATGAATGTTCATGGAGAATCTGCAAGGTCTTCGCTGAATACCTTTTAGTCTCTTCACCACGCCTACGGATCCCCCACAATTGCACCAGTGGTGGTAACCCCGGTGTAGCCTATTTTCATATTTAGATTAAGCCATCAACCGCGGAAATGCCAGCAAGGCCAAAACAACAACTTGCTGACCAACCAGCAAGTGAACTTTTGTCCTGGACCATACACAGGACTAAAGTAAACTCAGTGTGTTACACTGCAAAGCGGAATATACCTTTCAGTGCACTTATCCCTGTATAGTGACAGCATAAATAAATAAATACAGATACTTTACTAGTTATCCAAACATAGAACAGATGTATTTGTTTAGTTATTTATTCATAAAAAGTAATACAAGAGAAACAATGTTAGATTTTAATATCTTCAACTATTTAATAATCTTAATGACATTAAAAATATAAAGTAATTCTATGTAACACACTTCACCTCTCGGTGTACCCGTCTCGGTGTATATACACTGAGAGTTCTTAAGTTCTGGACTATGTTCAGGACCAAAGTATACTTCCTGGTTAGTTAGTAACCACTTGTGGAAGTCTTAATAACCAACCCATCAGAGGCTGATAGGCCTTAAGGACAATGCCAAGCCAAACAAACTACTAATATAGACAAGCAAGTAAGAAAATGACTGTAGATATTCCAACCATGTAGATATATCAGCCCACCCTCCAAAAATTATAGTACTTATTAGTAACCATTTGGGTAAACGTTCAAAAATGGACTGTCGGACACCGCAATAAGTTCACGTTTTGTACTATTGGAATCCCCGCAAATAACATTTTAAGTGGAACAGTAATTAAATAGACTAGCCTAGCCTGTCGAAGGCCTGCATAAGCAATCCTAGGCATAATATACATATTCTTATGCCTAATTTATTATATCTCCTACACTAGGCCTAGGATAGTTTAGGTTTGGTTTTGGGGTATTTTATTTTCGTGTCATTTACCAAATTAATAGCATAAAACGTGATCTTTTGTCGGCAACAGTACATTTTTGTCCGTCCGACCTGCAAGTTAGTTGCTGCAAGTACAGTAATTTAGAAGGATGGGTAATTAGTAAATCCGATTGTGAACGGGACTTTAGTAATGTTGAACATCAGCCTGAAAACAGAACATCAATGTAGGAATGCATAAGACCAATAGGCGGCATAGTTGTATTTGTATAGAGACAGTGTATTTGTATACACTCCATCTCTTGGCGTGCATACACTGAGAGTTTTTACTTTAGTCCTAGACTGTGTTTTCAGGACTAAAGTATATAGTACTTGCTGGTTGGTCAGTAAGTTATTGTGATGGCCTTAATAAGCCTCCAGAGGTTGATAGGCCTTAACTCCAACACCAAATAAAAAAAAACTGGTAGTTTGAAATGTAGAAGCGGTGCTAGCTGACATTACCATTACTGCAGGGAAGATTAGGTTAATCCATCAGGTTATTGGTTACTGCTCATACGTCATTGGGTACTGGTCACTAGGTTCGGGTCACTGATCATTCGTCATTAGGTACTGGTTACTAGTCACTGGTTACCGGTCACTGGTTCCAGCAAATGTTGCCACACTGTATTCCTCCGCGTTTTTTTAAAATATAATCATTGCAATCAGATATGTTTTTAGTTTGACCAGACCACACACTAGAAGGTGAAGGGACGACGACGTTTCGGTCCGTCTGGACCATTCTCAAGTCGATTGTGACTTGAGAATGACTTGAGATTGTGACTTGACACAATCGACTTGAGAATGGTCCAGGACGGACCGAAACGTCGTCGTCCCTTCACTTTCTAGTGTGTGGTCTGGTCAAACTACTTCAGCCACGTTATTGTGACTCATCGCCTGCAGATATGTTTAGTGTTTTTGTGTGATAATAATAATATTATCACAAAAAAAATACTGATAATACTTATTATCAGTATTATTATTTTTATTATTATACTAGCTGTACCCGGCCACGCGTTGCTGTGGCTCACTGAGCCACATCACATTGATCACTTTCTGCCGGTTACCTCTCGTAATGCCCAAATGAACAAATGGTCACAGTGAAAGCGGTCGGTAATATACAGTCCTTCTAAGTGCTCTCAATTTGGTCGTTTGGTCATTCCCGCTAATACGCATTGTTAGCGAGAACTTGGATTATGCTGACCAGTAGTGGTCATCATACTACAATATGAATGTGATTCTCAGCTTGAAGAAGCTTCGGAAATAGATTAAGAAGTTGGATATGGTAGAAGTGAATAAATAAATGCATGAAAGGCAAATAGGATATAAAAAATACTGTAGACACTTATTAAATTAAAGCAGAAATCGTTACGCTGTTTTTAAATTGGACCAATTTAGATTTAGAAAGACTATTGTTAAGGTTTGATTTGTAAGTAGAATTATGAAACAGTGGAACAATTTGCCAAATAGCATTATTGATGCAGATAATTTGGAAAACTATCCGCGTCAATAATTATAATTTACATAATAGGTTACACAAAATTGACAGTTGAATGCCTAGTGCCTTTTACAGTGTTTCCTAAATTTGTTGTGTTATATGTTAATTGATACACATAAAGTGTTACTATTGATGTGAGAGGTGTTATAATATGAGCAATTTATATTAAACATTTTACATAATATTTCCACAATTGAGGCTAAGAAAATTTCCACAATTGAGGCTAGGAAAATTTCCACAATTGAGGCTAGGAAAATTTCCACAATTGAGGCTAATTGAGGAATTAACCCACGGCACCGGAGAGCGTCTGTCTTCAGTTAGATAGGTACCTGTCTAATATATGTAACAGACTAACAGACAGGCAAGACAAAACAAAATAACGGCTATGAAAGTCATTTAAGTCTTGATCACCCTGTAGTCATATAAATCGGGTTACGTGTATTTTTTCAAGGTTTCCAGCCTTTTGTTTCAAGCTCCTTTTGTTTTATTGTTCATCAGTCTAGCAAACTCTTGGAGATCTCTTACAAGCACCAAGAGGCTGTTAGATCAACACGAAACTATTTAGGGCATGGAAAAGAATATTAGTCATTGGATTTGGGCAGTGTAACAGTCAAACATTTGGGCAGTGTAATCTGAAACTTGTATATCCCTCGATAACTTACGCCACCCCCCCCCCCCAGATAAGGGACTCAACATGCCTTCCTCGCAACCCCTACGGGCTCACCATAGCCCGTGCTACTTGGAACTTTTTGTTCCAGGTAGCAAATCTTAAACAACAAAACAGCCTTCCTCACGATGCGTATTCCCAGTGGCCCGTTATACCTAGCTGTATATACACGTAGTAGCCCGTTATTCCTGGCCGTTTATACAAAGTGGCCCATTATACATAGCTGCACATACACAGTAACTCGTCTATACCTAGGTGCATATACACAGACGGGTACCAGTCTGGCCTCTGGCTAGGTGCTGCTCCAACTGTTGTTACTCCTTTCTCATCCCCAATCAGAAGTCCCAAACTGAACTTGGCGTCGTCCCCCCTCAGCGTGAACAGCGCCTTTAGCACCTTGCGGACCCTCATCCCGACCGAGCCCGCAGACCGCAAGCTCTCCAAGATAGAGACCCTTCGGTTGGCCTCCTCCTACATCAGCCACCTCGGCACCCAGCTCCTGGCAGGTGAGTAGACTTTATTAAACATTTACCTGGTAGGTGAGGTGTCTATTTAACATGTGGTCAAGGCCGGATCTAACTATTTTTGGTCCATAGGCCAAATCAGCTAAATTGCCCCCCCCCTACCCTGTGGTCAGTGTTGTTATTCAAGGTCTAAACAAACAAACGTAGACAGCTTAATTTAGTTCATTTATTATGCACCCCATACCCATCCTGTCGGTGGTAGTGGATCAAGTTCAAGTATGTTTATTGAGATAAGCAATAAATACATCTCAAAGGGATAGAGTAGCTTAGGCTATTTCTACCCCCCTGAAGGTGGTAGTGGAAAGCGTTACAGAGGCTCAGGGACTGAACCAAAAAATGCATTTAGTTATGCAAGTTACAGTCTTGATGAGCTAGTTACAAAAATTTACAGTTACAATATATATATATATATATATATATATATATATATATATATATATATATATATATATATATATATATATATGTCGTACCTAGTAGCCAGAATGCACTTCTCGGCCTACTATGCAAGGCCCGATTTGCCTAATAAGCCAAGTTTTCCTGAATTAATATATTTTCTCTAAATTTTTTCTTATGAAATGATAAAGCTACCCATTTCATTATGTATGAGGTCAATTTTTTTTTATTGGAGTTAAAATTAACGTAGATATAAGACCGAACCTAACCAACCCTACCTAACCAAACCTAACCTAACCTATCTTTATAGGTTAGGTTAGGTTAGGTAGCCGAAAAAGTTAGGTTAGGTTAGGTTAGGTAGTCGAAAAACAATTAATTCATGAAAACTTGGCTTATTAGGCAAATTGGGCCTTGCATAATAGGCTGAGAAGTGCGTTCTGGCTACTAGGTACGACATATATATATATATATATATATATATATATATATATATATATATATATATGGAAGCGGAGGAGCTCTAAGGCATCCATAATCTCGTGTCATAATATGTAATGATGAAATATCAGTTATGTATAGTTTTGCAAAGGAATACATTGAGGCCGTATTCCTATATTTATATAAATTTCAGTTCCACTTTCCAAAAGCAACGAAAAATTATTATATTTTTTGTTAAATATTAATACTTATTGAAATAGTTCATACAATATTTTTCATAGTTATATTAGGCATAATGCATAGCTTTCCATAGGAATACCTAGAAGTCAGTAGCTACGTAAGTTTTAATTCTTTTATCCAGAAAATAACACCCAAAAGTAATAAAAACTGCTTTTAATAACACACTAGTAATTATGAAAATAATTAATATACATTACATTAAAATTTTGACGCACTCCATAGATTACACAAACCTATGATGACTAAATTAAAAGTATTGTTTGATATTAGTCCATTTATAAGGTACAAACAAATAATTCAGCCATACATGGTAAAGTAATTTTTGATGTAGCCTTTTGACATGTATATATTCTCCATAGTGCTTAAGACATTTTAATTATTATGCAAATAGGAAAAATTGCCTTCAAACATGTTTTACGTTTCAACATTAGACTATATGAGAAGACTCTTACTTGGCTCTTGCGCACACAAAAGCTGCTCACTGATAACATCAAGGAACTTTATAGTTGTGTACGAGTGTAATATTATGACAAGTGGGGAGTGTTGGTAAGGTAATTTATCAGGCGTGAGGCGCGCGCCACCAGCTTTTGTTTACTTGGCGGGGTCCGGCCAGTAGGGTCTAAGACCTGAGAAAGTATGTAGCAATCTACGTCATTACTATGCTACTAACTTAACCTAACCTAACCTAACCTAACTGAATTGAAATTGAAATAAGTTTATTGAGGTAAAATACACACAAAGGGATGCGGTAGCTCAAGCTATTCTCACCCCGTTCAGTACATCGTGTTAATACATATATAGACACACATCACAAACAATAAACATATTACCAAACATTCTGAGAGATAAACATAAACATTTCCTTCTTTAACCTAACCTAACTGAACCTGACCTAATCCAACTTAACCTATCCTATCCTAACCTGATCTTATCTGGCTGAACCTAACGAAAATATGAGACCTAATGTTGTGTTTCACATATGTACACACAAAGTGTGTGACGACAGTGACGTCATACTGCCCATGCTGGTACAGGTTTTAGATCCTACTGGATCCGGGAAGGGATTTACAGATGGCGTTAAATATAGTGTTGCTTGCTGCTTCTGTCACCCAGATGCACTTCTTGAAATATAGTTTGTAGATCTCGAAATATTTAGTACATGTCTGTACAGTAATGCAAGTCGGGATGAAGGAATTTTTGGATTTCTCTTCATTACAGGTGGCATTACGGGCTATTCATGCCCGTGCCACCTCTTGAAATTGAAATAAGTTTATTGAGGTAAAATATACACAAAGGGATGAGGTAGCTCAAGCTATTCTCACCCCGTTCAGTACATCGTGTTAATACATACATAGACACACATCACAAGCAATAAACGTATTACCGAACATTCTGAGAGATAAACATATACATTTCCTCCTTTACACAAGTAGTATGGTATCAGACGTACACACAAATACTTTTATGACCTAGGTATACTGTATAGACAATTTGCAAGAGACATGCAGATAATTCAACAAAAGATTAGTCTTGGTGCAAAATTCTTGTATCTTTCAAGAATATCATCAACCTTTCCGTTGTGACACATCCAGGCTATTTGTTCAGGAACAGTCCTTATCTCAGTGTTTCTATATACATTAATCAACGGACAATCAAGAACATAATGTGTAAGGGTGTGAGACCTTAACATACCACATAGTTTACACTTGGTGTCATTATCATGAACACCTATCCCATTGCCACCTCTTGGGTGGCTTAATCTCCAATCAATCTACAGGTGGCTTATTTATTGGGCATTCCCCATGGGCTCTCTTCCCCACTCGCCATGGGTACCCCCTCCCTGCTCACCAATGGGACCCCTTCCCACTCCCACATGACCACGACACAAGCGATCGCTGGTGTCGTGGTCAGAGTACCAGTGCTCTTGATGGGTACACCCTCGGCCGCCTGGGTTCGAATCCTGTAAGTGGTCATAAAGTTAATATATATATATATATATATATATATATATATATATATATATATATATATATATATATATATATATATATATATATATATATATATATATATATATATATATATATACATAAATATATATATATATACATAAATATATATATATATATATATATATATATATATATATATATATATATATATATATATATATATATACATAAATGTATTAGATCAATATTTGACCATGTAGAGGCTTCTACAGGTGTTCGAGGAGGCAACAGGCGATATAGATTAAGTCAAACTTATTATATATATATATATATATATATATATATATATATATATATATATATATATATATATATTTAGTGCCAAATTAGGCATATCTGCAATAATGTCTTCAGTTCATTTATTATACACCTCATATATACAATATGGAAATGCATAACATTTTTTGTTTTATGCAGTATTTATTGTTTACATTGACGTCACCGCCTACAGTGATGTCACCACATATTGACGTCACCGTCTACGTCACGTCACCGGTTGCCTATTAGTATCGTGGTATAATTTATACCTTTCACGGGAGACATCTCCCGTCACGCAGGGTGCAGTCGCACTTCCACAGATCTCCAGTATTCAGCTCTTGATACTGGTAATGGCTCAAAAGGGCCACCACTTACGGGCTATTCATGCCCGTGCCACCTTTTGGGTGGCTTAATCTTCATCAATCATCAATCTTATACCTTTCCTCTCTCGACCATCAGGACCGGTGGACCAGCCTTGTCTTCGCCACTCCCAGTACGCCTACACGGGCACTGGGGAGCGCCGCCCCGTCTGCACCTTCTGCCTCGCCTCCCTCAAGAAACAGGTAAACATACATAGGCTGCGCTGTAGTTGCATCTCTTGTATTAGTAGAGGCTTCCGTAATCCGTAGTGTATTTTTTATGCTTCTGCTGTATCATGTTGGCGGTTGTAGTTAGTGCCTTGCCACTTCGGCGACTTCACAAGCAATTCTTATTTTGTTATTTACTTTTTTAAAGTTTCTGTTTATGATGTTAAATGATTTAAGTTTGGACGTTTTCTTAGCATAGTTTCTTTTTCGTCTTGCGTGTACCCTATTTTCTCTCACTGCTTTCACTCCCCTTACCCTCACTTTACTTTCACACACCTACTCTCACTACTATCGTTCATCTGACAACTTTCACTCAGCTTATTGTCTCTTCCTACATTCTTTCCTCAAATTCTCGCGCTAAGTCCTCCACCAACCTCCCTGAGCAGAACATGTTCTTCTCTTACTCTACTTTCTCTCCTGCAGCAGAAGGCGGGCAGTGGCGTGGGCAGTGACAGCGTGCTGGGCAGCATGACCAGCGTGCCCCCCGACCTGGCCTCCTACATGAAGTCCTCGCCCCTGGACGACCCCACCTTTCAGGTCTGCTCCTTCCTCTTCTGAACGCCTTCCAGATCTGCTCGTACCTCTGGATACCTTCAAAGTCTTCACGTTCTTCTGGATATATTCCAGGTCTACTCATCAATCTTTTCCACACCTTCCAGCACATCTTGACACTGGAGTGTGTTTTGGTGCTACGCTCTGCAGGAAAGAAGAGCGCTTGAAGATATGTGGATGTAAGTTCGTTCTTTCCTCTCACTGTTATCTTCCAGTGATATGCGGACTTCAAGAGGTTCTCGCTGTGGCCTTAAGCGAAGGTCCTGTATGTGGAGGGTGAAGCTGTTGTTTTGAACGTGAAGTATCGATGGTATGGATTCGCTGGAGGACCTCCTGGAACCTTTACTGTAACCTTACCAGTGATTCGAGGATTAATTCCAGAGGCCCCTGAGAGGGGTTAGGAAAATTAGGATTCAGGATAAGTTAGGATTCAGTTAGGAAAATGAATCCTTCATGGGTTTGAATATGTTAAGAAATGTGTTTGCGCACTATTTATAGAATTTCAAATACTCCACCAGAATGGATAAAAACTAGAGGTACATTTTGAGGATGCTGACATGGATATTCTGTCTGAAAATAAAACAAAATCGTGACACTAAGATAGTGTCCCGAGCCACGTTGAGAAACTATAGTTGCAGCGCCGGTAAACAAACCATTAATGGACTGTGTTAGAAAACATAACTCCTCAACAGTGTACACGAAGACGAGACTTGGTATAAGACAGTGTTTGAGTTAAATTGTAAGACGTTGATGCTGGGGGAAGATACCATTATGTCAGTGTAGCAGACTTGTGTACTATATCTCCCTCATGCTATTTTATTTTTCTTTATATATTGATATTATCCAAATTAAATAATATTAAATAGAAATTGTAATTCAGGGGCTCTCAGTATAAAGGTTTCAACAGTTAAAGCAGGGTTGTATCCCAGGGTGAGGGGCCGTGGTCACTGTGAAACAATTGAAGTCATCACAAGGTAGAGACGGGGTGCAGTGTGTGTATATATATATATATATATATATATATATATATATATATATATATATATATATATATATATATATATATATATATGTCGTACCTAGTAGCCAGAACTCACTTTTTGGCCCACAATGCAAGGCCCGATTTGCCTAATAAGCCAAGTTTTCCTGAATTAATATATTTTTTCTAATTTTTTTCTTATGAAATGATAAAGCTACCCATTTCATTATGTATGAGGTCAATTTTTTTTTTTTGGAGTTAAAATTAACGTAGATATATGACCGAACCTAACCAACCTACCTAACCTAACCTAACCTATCTTTATAGGTTAGGTTTGGTTAGGTAGCCGAAAAAGTTAGGTTAGGTTAGGTTAGGTAGGTTAGGTAGTCGAAAAACAATTAATTCATGAAAACTTGGCTTATTAGGCAAATCGGGCCTTGCATAGTAGGCCAAAAAGTGAGTTCTGGCTACTAGGTACGACATATATATATATATATATATATATATATATATATATATATATATATATATATATATATATACTCAGAGTTATATATATACCTATCATATTTAAATAGTAGTTTTTGTAGCTATGTGCACTATTGTACAAAGATTGACGTACTAAGCAATTAGATAATAGAATTTTATACTGTTCACTTTATAGAGTAAAAAATGAAGCTCAAAACAAACTTAAATATTGCTAGGCCTAGTATAGCACACATGTGTACTATATTAGGCCTCAGCTATCGTGTATCAGGCCTAGGAAGCTTTGGTTAGTTTACTTTGTCTTTGCAACATAAATCGAAAATCTTTTCCGGTTTGTCCAAATACAATATGTCCGATTTCTACTTTCGAATTGCGTTGAACGTGGGTATATGTACTATGGTCCTCGTCGTTACTCTAAGTACTACCAGAACTGGAGGATGGTGCTGATATATAATATATTTTGTACATGGAACATAAAATGAGGTCGACAGAAAGTCAAAAAGTGCATGAAATATACGAGTGTACAGCAACAGTAGCGACAGATAATACAAGAGATAGTAGTAAATTTAGTATTGTTGTTGTTTAAGATTCGCTATCCGGAACAAAAAGTTCCAAGCAGCACGGGCTATGGCGAGCCCGTAGTGCTATTTGAATTTCGTACTGGTGCCCGAGTACTTAAGTAGGGTGACTGCGGTCTGTGTGACAATTGTGTTTAACTTCTCAATGGTTTCGTAATCCTTCACTTATCATTTTATTTCTTGCTGCTTGTGGCTTATTTTTCCTACGGACTTTATGTAGCTGGTCGATCATTTTTTTATATTTATTTGGCTCAGTAGTTTAGTGTATAATAATGATTAAATAATTACAGAGTTAATTTTTGTTTAATATCTACCTCTTCATATAAGTACGGAGATATGGTGACATTAAATTTTCACTATAATATTTGCTACTATAATAGCAAATTTTGCTAGTAATCTGTAATAATACAAATTAGTAGCAAAATTCATATTACATATTGTTTGACAAATAATTGCATATATTATATTTTCGTAAGAATGAATTACTTTTTGCAATTTGAATATATAACGATTCTTTGATTAGCTTTTGTCTTGTGATTTTAGTTCAGACAAGAAATGGTAGGCCTATAGAGCCTGAGTTGTTTAATAAGGTCTACACATGATTTGTCAAATGTCGCATCATTCTTAAGTTTACAAAGCAGAAGATTTTAGGATTTTCTGTTGTTGAAAGATTCCATATGTGGCAAGTGATGCGAGTAGTCACATAACCAAAGCTCTCATTGTACCGTAGGCCAGGCAGGTACATCCAGGGACGTGTACCTGCATCTCGGTTTAACTTCTCAGAGGCTACATCAGTCCAGGACAATGTTGAGGGCTGGAGTAGCCTTACTAGTTGGTCAATAAGCCATTGTGTTATTTTAAATAAACTCTCCTTCGGTTGATAGCCTAATACTACACCAAAGGATCACCTTACAAAAAAAAGCAAATCAACATTCCTTTAAATCTGCCTCTGTAATCACTTAGGAACGGAAGGGGGAAAAAAAACAGAAGTAGGGCTGAAGGCTTGAAGGGTCTCTGGCTTTTTAGACCAAGCTCCTGTTTACAGACCCGGACATGCCACTCAGAATATTTCGATATTTGTTTACAAACAAAATAAAAGTTTATTTTCGAATACAATAAATGAAAAAAAAACATCGTTATCACGAACTCCAACTGACTCCTCGAAGAGCGTATTTCTTCTTCTACGTCAGTTGCTAATATTTGACTAACTTCCTAAACTGCTAAATGAACACCGCAGGCCACGATGTCTCGTATCTGCGTTCCTGTGGTTTTGCTCACATCTTTATCAAAATCTCATGGTCAACAATATTTTTTTCTAAAAATACTACATGGTCAACAATATTTTCCTAAAAATATCACATGGTCAACAATATTTTTCTTAAAATACCACATGGTCAACAATATTTTCCTAAAAATATCACATGGTCAACAATATTTTTCTCAAAATACCACATGGTCAACAATATTTTTCTAAAAATACCACATGGGTCAACAATATTTTTCTAACAATACCACATGGTCAACAATATTTTATAAAAAAGCTCACATCGTCAACAACACTTTTTCTCAAATGCTCACATAGTCAACAATACTTTTCTAATAATCCCACTTGGTCAACAATGTTTATCTAGAAATCCCACGTATTCAATAATATTTGTCTTAAAAATCCCACTTACATAGTTACAGCATTCTCCACCAACTAACCATTGCTATTATATTCTAACTATTGGGCTGGTACACGAACAATAAAGATTATTTTATTGCAATATATTTTATTTTAATTTATTTAAAATTGGGTCTATATTCTGTTATACATGAAAAACGGTTGAGAAAAAAATTATACGAAATATAATATTTTTAATGTACCAGAGTTTTTAGATGTAATTATGGCCGAAATTACATAGAAAATTTGTGATTATGAAAACTTAATTGAAAATTAATAATTAAACGAGAATATTGATAAACCTACCTGGCATTATTTTGTAATAACAGTAAGTAGTACGGTACTGTATATTAACCAGCAAATATATCATTATAGAAAACGGGAGAAGTATGTCAATATACCCGTCAACATCATTATGTCTGGTTCACAATTGACCCCATGACCTACAAGGATTCGAACTTGGACTGCTGAGGTGGGAGCCCACTACTTTGTGACGCGCATTCCTAAGAGGCAAGATAAGCATTGCTAACGTTATAAAAATGATTCCAGTCGAAATGAAAATATATATTTAGTTACCATATGATTTAGTTCAACTATGTATACAACATTCTAAATTATTTTTGGTCTCAAATATGAAACATTTTATTTGCAGTAACCTCTTTCCGCTCACATGTTGAATTAAATGCAACCCGTCCTCCTAATAGCAAGTTGCATTTTGATGTATACTATACCTAAAGTCAAAAACTGTCGTACTAGATAATAGTAGCGGTTCGCGAAAGTGACGTACTGTCCCGTTTTCTGTTTTGGGTCCTCTGGTAGGTTAGGATAAGGGGGGGACTTTAGTATATCAGTTTCTTGTCGTTGGGAAACTTCAGGAGGACGAGCTGCTAAAATGATATGTCACCGCCAGAGGTTAGATGAAAACAAATAATATAACGTATTACCCCTCTTTTTTTCCAAAACCATGTAAATAAGGTTCAAGTCACTTTAATAACCATTCAGATGCTGGAATGTTCCTTCAATAATATTTGTTATGATTTAGTATAATTAATTTTGTTGGAGATTTGGACAAACAGAAGCAGAGCGTTCTCCTGTTGACGGTTGTGGGGGGGGGGGGGTTGCAGGCAGCGTTGCCAGTTCATTAAATTCAAATCGGTAAATAGCAAACAGCAAACATCTAATTGTTTTCATCTCTTTCACAGTTTTGTATATTATTAGCATCATTATCGTAGTACTTGAATTTTGACACAAACATTTTGAAATAATAACATAAATTAATGATTGTATAAACTTATTCTAAATAGATTGATTTAATTTAATTTCAATTTTCTAAATCTGTTAGATTTAAGTTTGAAAGAGCTGGCAACAGCGTGTGTGGCGGCCGAGCGCGTCTCACAGAGAATTCAGTTGACTTCCAGAGGTGAGGGGACACTGCACGCATTTCTTTGGGTGCATTTCATATAAAACTGAAAATGCAGTCGCAGAGTGCGGAGAGTCTACTGTTTGTCATGTCTTCTGCTGTGAAATGATAAAACTATATGGAAGACTTACGGATATAAAGATTAGCCGGAATATAGAGAATTATTGCATGATCTTCAGCGCAAGGCCAAACTTTACGGCAAAGTTGCTTATCATTTTGCTTGTAAACCAAGAAGAATTTAATTCAATTATGTATAAAATGGTAAGTTAAAATAATATTTTTTCATGTTACTAATCTATCCAATTTTAGATGTAAAAAAATTATAATTTGTTGTATTAATATTCATAATTGAACTTTTCAAAAGATCTTAAATAGCTTCACTTGCTTTCCGAGCATGTTTGCCACGACCCACCACAGCCACGGTAGTGGCCATGAAAAAACTACCTCTCACACCAATAAGACATAACAACATAGAAATAACGCCAACTGCACAAGCCCTATAGGCTCATACGAGGCAGCTCCTTGATTATAAATATGTGACGGAAGGCTGTGAGGCCTCCAAGCACCCATCAGGTGACGTCCCTCATTTATATTGTATCGTCAATCTTCTTCTTGTTAGTTGATGGGAGGTACATTGGTTATATATATATATATATATATATATATATATATATATATATATATATATATATATATATATATATATATATATATATATATATATATATATAATACAGTGACACACACCTTAATATATCCCACTATCTCTTACTAGCGCGAGCGACCAGGCCATTAATGCATCAAGCAATTACGTGTCCACCGACGAAACCTTTGCATCTTACCTCGAACACGATTGATTTGTTTACAGTTACTAAACAGCCGAGCACCGAAGCACTTCAAGGTGGTTGCTAACGATAA